CCCTCTAGGGTGTGGGTGGGTCAACTCCCGAACCCCGCCGATGAAGCTGAAGATCGGATGTCTGCATGAGGAGACCATTACATTTCTGGTACTGGAGGGATCCACCGTCGACATCATCCCTGGCTCACTCTCCACTCTCCAGAGGTCAGATGGGAGCCTTGTGAGGTAACTCGCTGGAGCGAGTCGTGCCGTCTCGTGGCAATCCCCAAACCGCCTACGGATCTAGTCCGAGCCCAAGTTGCCTCCACCCTAGTCTAAAGTCCGGAACCTCAAGAGACACCCACTGTCCCATCTGACTATGTGGCGTTCCGGAGGATTACATCCAGGAGACTCTCAAACAGGGATTCATCCAACCATCCACCTCACCAGCTGATTCAAGCTTCTTCATGGGCAAGAAGGATGGGGGCTTGAGGCCGTGTATCGATTATCGCATGCTGAACTCCCAGACGGTAAAGCTGCCATACCCACTTCCCCTGGTCCCAGCCGCCCTCGAGGATCTCTGTGGAGCCCGCATCTTCTCCAAGTTGGACCTGCGGAGCGCGTACAACCTTGTTCGTATCCAGGAAGGCGACGAGTGGAAGACGGCATTCATAACTCCCGCAGGCCACTATAAATATCGGGTCATGCCATATGGCCTAGCTAACTCACCGTCAGTCTTCCAAGGCTTCATGAACGAGGTGTTCCGGGAGTTCCTTCATCGCGTCGTGATAGTCTATATCAATGATATCTTCATATATTCCCGGAACCTGGCCGAACATCGCCACCACGTGAAGCAGGTCCTCCAGAGGCTCCGACAACATCACCTTTACCTTAAACTGGAGAAGTGCGAATTCCATCGCTCCACGGTTCAGTTCCTCGGTTACGTCCGTGGCCGCAGCCCCAAACTGTTAAGGACCTGAAAAGATTCCTTGGATTGGCAAACTTCTACCAAAGGTTTATCAAGAACTTCAGCATACTCAAAGCTCCTTTTACCTCCCTGCTCCGAGGAAGGCCCAAGTCCCTGTCCTGGAGCCCCAATGCCCACAAAGCATTCGAACAGCTCAGGGAGGCCTTCAGCACGGCCCCCATCCTTCATCATCCCGATCCCCAAGCTCCCTTTGTGGTGGAAGTGGATGCCTCCACCACCGGAGTCGGGGCCGTGCTGTCGCAGCACTGTGGTGAGCCTCCCAGCCTCCATCCTTGTGCTTACTTTTCCAGAAAACTGACCCCAGCGGAGCAGAACTACGACATCGGCAACCGGGAACTGCTTGCCATCAAATTAGCTCTGGAGGAGTGGCGTCACTGGCTGGAGGGAGCCCACCATCCTTTCACTGTCATCACCGACCATAAAAATCTGCAATATCTCAGAGATGCTAAAAGACTCAACCCACGTCAAGCCAGATGGGCATTGTTCTTTACTCAGTTCCAGTTCACCATCACTTACCGTCCCGGAAATCGCAACTGCAAAGCCGATGCCCTATCGCGCCTGCACTCTCCCGACACAGCAACCGAACCGGAACCCATTCTCCCTCCAGCTCTGATAGTCAGCCTCATTCAATGGAACATCTCCAAAGACATCCTTGATGCCACTCACGCCGAGCCTGCTCCGCTGGGAGGCCCAGAAGGGAAAACCTATGTCCCAACATCACAACGCCAAACCCTTCTGGGCTCAGTTCACAGAGTACCGGGCTCTGGACACCCAGGCAGCAAACGGACCCTCTTGCTCCTCCAAGCCTGGTACTGGTGGCCCAGTATGGCCTGGGATGTCACCAGGTACGTCCGAAGCTGCTCAGTCTGTGCCATGTCTCAAACTCCTCGTCATCTTCCCGTAGGCAAGCTTGTCCCACTGCCCATACCACGGAGACCCTGGTCCCACATAGGAGTGGATTTTGTGACTGACCTACCCATCTCTGACAGAAACACCTGTATCCTTGTAGTAGTCGACCATTTCTCTAAGGCCTGTAAATTTATACCCCTCAAAGGTCTACCAACAGCTCTAGAAACTGCAGAATGCTTATTTACCCATGTTTTCAGAAACTACGGCATCCCAGAAGATGTGGTCTCAGACCGGGGTCCCCAGTTCATCTCCCGTGTATGGAAAGCCTTCTTCCGACTCATGGGAGTGACCGTGAGCTTGTCCTCCGGGCCGAGTATGCACAAAACTCCCTCCGACAGAACACCACCAGCCTAACCCCCTTCCAGTGCATACTCGGTTACCAACCCCTGCTCTTCCCATGGACGGAAGAGCCCTCGGAGGTTCCAGCTGTGGACTACTGGTTCCGGGCGAGCAAGAGAGTGTGAGACTCGGCTCACGTCCACCTCCAATGAGCAGTGCGGAGGCATAAGGCCTTTGCAGATGCCCGGCGCACCTCTACTCCTACTTACCAGCCTGGAGAGAAGGTCTGGCTGTCCACCCGGGATCTGCGCCTCTGCCTGCCCTGTAAGAAGCTGAGTCCCCGACCGTTCACCAGCTTGAACTTAGCCTGACTCCTACCTGTGTTTGACCTGTTGTTTACTTAGCCCTAGAAGCTCCAGTGATCCTGTTCTCCTCCGATCCCATTCTCATCCTCCCCGGATACCTGCTAAGGATACCAACTAATTACCCAGAGCTAAGAGCCCAAGAACTCTCTATCTTCTCATACTCGCCTTTCTTCAACTTGTTCTCCGAATTGTCAATAAATCCTCCTGTTTGCATCCGTACCTTGTGTCTCTGGCTCAGACTGTGACACCTATCTATATTGACTGATTTGTTATTATTGTTCAGTAACACTTAACAGGTTCCATTAACATTAGTTAACTACATTAGTTAACATGAAATAACAATGACTGCATTTATTAATCTTAGTTCATGTTAATTTCAACTTTTAATAATACATTATACAATCAAAAGTTGCGTCTGCTAATATTATTCAATGTAGCTAACATTAACTAACAATAAATAGTTGTATTTTTATTAATCAACGTTAACAAAGAATATTACCTATAAGCTATTGCACATTGTTAGTTAATATAAACCTGCTTTAACTATGTTAACTAATGGGACCTTATTGTAAAGTGTTACCTATTGTTCTTTCGTTCGTTTGAAAGTTGATCTTTTGCACTCTACTCTTGAAACACTTGTTTACTTTATATAAAGTCTTTCTTTAGTAAAGATTTACATCTTTAGTTATTTACCTCTTTTTACTTCCTAAATTATATAGGCTATTGTGATAAAAACCATATACTGTGACAAAAGTTTCATAGACTATTGTGAAAATTTTATACCATCACATACTTAATGTACATACAATTTAATAGGACAATAAATAATTACATAATTAGCTTATTAAATAGAGTCTGAAGCAAAATTATTTAAAAACCTTGTGTACTTTCTGTATTCTGATAAATTAAATAATTGTGCTTGTAATTGTCTCATTATATCCCCTTATTAAGCTAAAAGACGATTTGAAATTGCGC